GTAAAATGTACTACATTTTCCTTATTCATTCTTTGGTCGAGGGACATTTAGGTAGTTTCTAGTTTCTGGCTATGACAAACCATGAGGTAAAGCAAGTGCCGGTGGGGTAGCAGCAGCAAGCTTTCCAAAAGCTCTACCTGAGGTCAGTGGGTTAGACCAAACAGTCGGTTTTCAATGTAGATACAACCACTCTATGATGGAAAAAGATGAAGAAGCAGTTAATACCTGATTTTTAAGCTTCTGGGGTCAGTTTAGCACCCTTGACTGAGGCTATGGTAGCTGGCAACTTTCTGTCAATTTTAAGTTGTCATTCTGAAAATGTCCTTTCTCATAAAAAATATTCTCCACCTTCCCTGCTTGTATGCTCTATATGGAACATCAGATGATAGCTCATCTGTTTGTATATGGTGGCTGAAAATCTTCATCTCACTGTTGAGACCTCCAGTTTAGCCAAGAGAATGGCTTTCAAAGTGACAATGATCATTGGCAATGCATCTGCCCACCTAAGAGTTTGTAGGGAGATGCAGGATGAATCATTGCTGTCTTCACGCCTGCTAACACAGCGTAGGTTCTGCAGCCTGTGGGTCCAGAAAGAATTTTGACTTCCAATCCGTATTCTTTAAATAAGCCCCACAAGGCTACAGTGATTTGTCTGATACATCTAAACCAAATAAATCAAAGATCTGGAAGTAGTCAGCAGCCATGCTTAGCAAAATTATTCCTGGTTCATAAAAGGAGGGCAACAGGGTGACACTAAGGCGGGGAGGTGTGGGAAGGTTATTTCCAAGCCTAGTGGATAAGGTGCGGGGGGGGGGCCCCCCCCCCGCAAGACTGTTGTCTAGGAAGTGATTCAGGTGTCAGCCACACCTAGAGATTGAACTTCTGCAACCTCAAGACAACATAGAGAGGATAGAGGGTTACTTCTAGATGAGGAAATAAAGTGAGATCCTAAGATAGAATCTCTTTGATAGCGGTGGACACTGTTGAAGTGATAATGAAGCACCTGCAATTATATCACCCCAGCTGATTCCAGTGCTATGGCTCTGATTATGATTGAAATTCAGATCTTGATAGCATACTATCAAGCAGCATTACATGCTACAGAGAACTCTTTCAGGAGAAGGAAAATAAATGGATTCAAATACAGCACTGTCTTCTTTTAAGCAACAGATATCCCAGCCTCCAGCAAACACAACAGGGATTAGTTGGCTGCCATGAGCATCACGGTGAGGGCCTCCACCAATAAGGCTATGACCCTCTGTGGTCTCAGCTGATTGTGAACACTTTTTAACCAATGAGGTATTAACGAAGTTATATACATTGTGTTTGCAACAATATGGCAGTCTGATGTTATTTCAGAAATACTTAATTATACAGTGTAGCATAAATGGAACATATGCACCCAGAAACAACAACAACAAAACTCTGTTGCTCATTTTACTGTGACAGTCTCTTTATTGTGGTAATAAACCACCAGACTCACAATAACTCCAGGGCATACTCAGTAAGGAGGTTGGGATAATTAAGGTGGACTTCAAAGAGGAGAAAAGGTTTTATGGGTATTCACATTCACAGACAAAAATGTTATAAGCTGAATTACACACAGATGCCGTAAAGTCACTTCATTACTTATATGATAGACTGAAACTTTCAAGTTAAATGTCAGTATTATTCCATTATTATTATTATTTATTATTGTTATTATCATCATTATTATTATTTTTATATTGACCATCATTCATTCTCTCTCTCTCTCTCTCTCTCTCTCTCTCTCTCTCTCTCTCTCTCT